AACGTGTGGCCTATGCAGCCGCTGCTTGGCGGAAGGCTCGAGTTTGCGACCCCTGGATTATGGTATTCCGCTGCAAGCGAACCGGAACCTAAAGAAGAAAAGCACGACTGCCCGATCTGTTTTCTCCTGAACGCTTATTGGTCAACGATGACTTTGGTATGCTGGGCTGGGCAGCCAACGAGCGCGCAGAGGGGATTAGATCGAGCAGTCATACTTTTTAGCCCGCCCTTCTGCTTTAGAAAATCTATCTAGCGGTCTTATGCAAACGACCTCGTGTCTGTCTGTGTGTCTGTCTGTTCCACTAGAAGGAGATGTGCTAGAGACTTCAAAATTTTAGGGTATCTTAAGGTTCACTCATAGAAAACGAAACGCCTACGGCAAATCCTGGCAACCACCCCTAAAGTGCTAAAAGGGGGTATTAAAGAAAATGGGGTAGGTCTAAAAAGTCAGAAAACAATATTTTTTTTATGATTTCCTAAGGCAGGGGTCTCAAACTCGCGGCTCGCGAGCCAAGCGCGGCTCGCCTAGCCCGGTAGCGCGGCTCGCCGAGAGCCGCGCACCTCTTGCGTTCGGGTGGATCCGAGCCGATCCGAGCCCCCGAGAGCCGCGCTCGGGTTGCTCGAAGATGAACTGGACCCAGCCATCGTCGTCTGTCGCTCGACACACGCCGCTCGCTCGCTGGCCCAGTGTGTGTGTCTGTCTTTGTCTCACTCATTGAGGCGCCATTGGAAGAGACAAAGACAGACACACTGGCCGGCGACAGAGCGCCGAGGAAAGCCAGCCGGCGGCGACAGCAGTGCGGCCGGGCACGGGTCAGTCGCTGAGGCACCACTACATCTATCTCTCTCACTCTTCTTGCCGAAGAGCTTGTAATGCACGTGGCCTATGCAGAAGCGGCTCGGCGGATAGCTCGAGTTTGAGACCCCTGTCCTAAGGGGTACCTCGTCAAAGTAGAGCCCTCGGGGCAAAAAATTCGTCCGTTTGGCTCTATCTCTAACCGTTTATGCGCTGGAGGGTCTTTTTTTGACGAAAATAAGCTTAAAATTGCTGTAGTGAACATTTAGTT